TATTTTTGGCAAGTGGGGTTTCTCTTGAAAGTGAATAGTTAGTTTCTTTTCTCACATGACTCAGGTTGGCTCAAAGGTCGGCGAAATGTAAAATTTATTTGCAAAAACTCGTTAAACAAATTGGCTAATAATTACTCGAAAATACATTAATGAGTTTATGTTTTTTCTTATAAAAAAATATACTTAAATTAATAGTATCACTTAATATATTAAGGTTGACATTGTAGCAATCAGATAAAACAATGGGGATAGATAGAACCCAAATAAATAAAATGGCTTGGTCGTTGGATGGGTAGACGACGCAACCTCTTTTTGTTGACTTATTTATCACAAATATTGAGTGGATGTATAAAGTATAATTATATATCCATATTACAGACTTTTGTCTACAAGTTTCACTTAATTTTGAAACCATTTTGGAGGAGAAAATAATAATTTGAAGCCAAAAAATATATATTTCTTTCTATCTCAAAAGGTATAACAACTTGCGGAGACACAACCATTGGAAGTAGTACATGACTGCATGCATAATGTGACACAGTTATCTTTTTCAGATTTTTAACGAAACTGAGAGGAAAATGAACTTCTACACGAATCTAGACCATTAGATTCCTTTTGCAATACAAAAATAAAAGTATTATTTTTGTAATTAGAAAATTTACCCTAGTTCTGTGTCCTGCCATTCGTCCATATAACGAAAATGTTATCATTCCATTTATTGAGATGAATTAATGATTGATTTTTTTCTGGACATCAGTTTTTATTACCACAAAAAATTTATATAAAACTACATATTAAGGTTTTAGAAAGACTTATATAAAACAAAGTGATAAGAGTGACTTATAGAGAGTGAAGCCTTATATGTGAAACAAGGACAACTTACCAATATATGAACATACATCATTAAATACCAAATTCGAATTAACCACAGAAATGGCCCAAAATCAATTGAAAAGAGATGGGTAAAAAAGGAGAATCAATTGACAGAATTCTTGATCGGCTATTTATTGAAATAAAAATAACAGAGTATCATTCACGGAATCCAAATAAATATTTGTTTCCAATAGTTTTATATTAAAACAAAATTCTGAAATTGATTAAATAACAAATAATCATCAGAAAAAGAAGAAAAAAATTTCACCGAGGGAAGATGTAAGAATAATAACAAGGAGAAATCATTCATGCATAGGTGCAGCAGTGGCGACAACTCCAAGTTTCTGAAGATTGAGTTTGACGACAGTGTCCACAAACATTTTGGTGTCCTCTGCTGTGTTCCCCTCGGGAATATCAACGGTGTAGGATTCAAGAACCACCGTATAGAGCTTGCCGGAATCTTGATCCAAGAATTCGTTCACTGACGTCACGGATTTGTAGTTGCTAAGCCGGTGCTCTCCGCCAACAACCCTGAAGCTCAGAACACGGTGGTCGTCGTCGAGGAACTCGAGGCGCTCTGTGCTGGTGGAGGCTGGGAGGCCGGAGATTACAGTAACCTCCCGGACGCTTCCGACGGTGCCATCTCCGGTAAGAAGGCGGCAGCTTTTGATGAAGTGTTTGTAGCGTTGTGGGTTGTCGAAGCTGCGGATGAGAGGCCAAACAACCGAGGCGGGGGCGTCGATGCGTTGGGTAATGAGGGAGGTGCAGGTGCTTGGATTTGGTTCGAACCGGTGGTAAGTTTCGATAACCGGTTCAAGGGTTTTGTGCTCCTCGTCGGTTAGGCCGTTCACGACCGGGGAGGAGCTCATAATGATGATGATTAGATCACACGTGTGACGTGTGTGGGGATTGAATTACGGTTC